ATTCCCAAGTAAATGTTAAAGAGTAATAAGCCCTATGAGGGGTCCTTAAAAGTGCAAAACTTGGATACAGGGAATTTTGTACCTTGTGACTGACAATGTTGGAAGGCTATGCACCAGGTTTTCCTTTTTTTGCAATCGATCTTTGAAAAAGAACTACATTGTTTAACTTTAGGGACATTGAGTTTTAAATGTGGTTTTTAAAAATTGAATAAGATTATTTAATCCAACCTTTTTTATAGATAAGAGAACGTAAAGTGATAGAAACAGGTGAAATTCAGATGTTTCAATATCTGCTCTCCGATACTTTCTCCAGTGCGCCATGGGGCCTCAGTGTGTGTGCTCGCGTTTATATTTATATTTGGTTTGAAACCCTCTCATACCTGAGCAGCAATAATTCATAAATTTTTGACATCTAAATTTCTGATTTAAAAATTAAATTTCCTGCCATTCATATTTAATCAGTACCTCTCAGATGATTGCTCTCAAATTTGAAACCTGGGATTATAGATCCCAGGGGGCATTCAGAAAAGAGAATTTGTGCCTTTTCTTTAGAGAATTCTTGAAAAGTATAGATAAGCTTGACAAAATTACAATTCATCTATCTTTAGTTAGACATTTTAATCTGAGCCAAGCCTAATATGCTTCTCTAATTATAGTGATATATTTTCCAAATTACAAAGCAAGACACATGGCCCGACACATGGTCTTGGAATTCTAGATGTTTGGTACAGTAATATTTGCTTAATGGTAAGCGAAATTATTCTCTGGAGCACATGAAAAATCAAGTGTTTCTCTTGGTAAGCTATTCCCAAAATATCCTACCTAGTTTCTTGCAATGTCTGTGCTTAACTAATTATAAAATTAAAAATACTTTTAAAATACCAAATGGAATTAATGTCCATTATAGAAAACAACCAGGAAATATGAGCAAAATAAGAAAACACTGAACAAATAATATATTATAAAATTCTTTAGTGCAAAGAAAGGGGCGTATTAATTTTAAATGCTTCCATACTTTCACAATCAAATCCCACTCTTCCTTGTTTACAACTAAAAAAGCCCAAACACTAAGAAAAAAAAAATTAAAGAGTCACCGAGTAAAACTTCTATGTCCTTACTAAACGCTGCCTGAGTTTTAGGAATCTGTATAATAAACATGAAATCGGTCACCCTACCACTCTCACCCTCATCTCATTCCACACACCCATCTTCCCTCCCTCCCTGCTCACACGCATTGGGACTTGAAAAATATCCCTTTTCAATTCGGTT